CTCAACTCTGGTATCCAACTTGTCCCCAAAGATGCCATCTATATGCTCCAACTGTTCCGTGAGACCTTTCCAAGGTGACCAGACTCTAAAATGCCCTCCTTTACACCCTGAAGATGACTTAGAGCCTCAGTTCTCTCCCTACGTTACTCATTTATCACCTCGGCAGAGATCTTGTTCTCACACCTGCAAAGCTCAGTGTCAACCTCAAAGGTCCTTCCATCCCTCCCACAAACAAAGAAAGCACAACTAAAATCCCATTGTTTCTATAAAAACATAAATCCTCCTTAGGGACTACTACTGGAATTTTTCTCATTGTTTTCTACAGTCAAAACCTTTTATCCCTATGGAACTACAAACAAATGTTTTTAGGTGGTTTTATATTATTCTTTAGTCCTAAGATCATCACAGTTATTCAACCTAACAAAAGCCTTCTATATACTCTATGACAACATCAATTTTTCAATTTGTGACTGTGCTATCTGAAATAGTTTCTATACACTCCAAAATAAGGCACAAATATCAAGATGCAAAGCACTCTTTACTAGCAAAAGGCAATCCTACTAAGGTAGACACCATGGAAACTACATTAATTTCAACCTTAAAAGGAAATGAGTTAAGCGTAGTAGTGCATGCCTTTAATCCCAGCACTACAGAGGCTGGAGGTAGATTTCTGTGAGTTCTAGGCCAATTTGTCTACAATGCAAATTCAAGGCCAGCCAGAGTTATTGTAGCCAGCCTTCAACACAGTAGCAAATGTTACCTTACCTACTTAACAACTTCCTTGAACCATATGATTTATCACGAACCTCTGAGTAATATACTTGCACATGAGAGCTGCAGCAGCAGGCCCTTTGTGAATTGAAAGCCAGCCTGAGCTAGAGTGAGCCCCTGTCTCAAAAACAAAATTACACAGTTTTGATAATTTGCTCTCTGCCTTGGTGTCATCACAAGAAGTCTAAGGATTGTGCACCCTGGCTCTTCTTACACATTGAGAACAGGTGTGGTCTATGTCAGAAATAGGGATCACATGTTCAGGCTGTCTTCCATTGTATGTGATATCACAGAGGGTGTGGCTGAAAGCAAGACAGAGTCTCCTTCTTCCTCTTCTGCCTGGGCCTCAATGTGCTTGGCATTGCTTGATGTCACTGCTCATGCATACCTACAATGGGCTCTGCCCCATTCTCATTTAACTAGACTGGGTAGAGGAACCACAGTGCTCTATCCTTCAGTCTTTAGATGCGCTGACCTCTCCTCTGAACAGTGTGAACACAGAGGCCTCATGGGACATGCCACTGTAGCCCAGCAGCAAGTGAATGCTGGGTACACGCCTTGTGACAAGCCTTGAAAGTGGCTGCAAAGCAGTGAAGCAGCACCAGGCCCTCAGCGCATCCCCACCTACATGGAGGAAGGTAATATTCTGGCTGTTTCCTGCTTGGCACAATCCTAAAGGCAAAAGCTAAGCAGAAGTTCACGGGATCTAGAACTACATGTAGCTTTCAGCAAGCCTATCTTGCAGAAAGTTCTCTTGAGAACGGATGAGCTCCAAGTCCCTTCTATAAAGTCGAATTCTTCAACCCTAAAGGGTAAGATGGTAAGTACGGGTCTCAGCCACGAGCACACCTGCCTACTCAAAAGGAAATCCATAGTTCAGGCATTATGACTTACTTCTGCCCTGCTATACACATGGACCAGGCATCTAAGAGCTCTGGAGTGAAAGCTGAGCCCTGGACTGCTAGTTCAAACCTCTTTCCAAAGTGGAAAATGGACTGCAAGAGCTGAAAAGCTTAGAAAGCATCTTTTAAACACACCTTCTTAAAAAAACGTATTTTATATGTATGGGTGTTTTGTCTGCATGTATGTCTGTGTACTGTATACATGCAGAGTACACAGAGGCTGGAAGAGGGCATCAGATCCCCTGGAACTGCAGTTAGAGATAGCTGTTGTCCACCATAGGGTGCTGGAAACCATGAGCACTTGTCAGTTCTCTTAACTGTGGAGCCATCTCTCCATTGTTTTCTTTTTTTAAAGGTAGGAAACCGAGGCTCAGAGAGACGCACTATTTGCTGAGTAGTGCTCCGGTGTGTGAACCAGACAAACAACAGAAGGCTCTCGGTCCCAGCCTAGGTTCTTAGGAACAGTCTCAGTAACTCTGGGTTTCAGTCACAGAAGGGTCCTCAAGTCTCCCAGACAGTGTGGCAGGGCTGGAAGAATCAAGCAGATCTGCTATTTCTGCTCTAGCTTGAATTCAGTACAGAAACAGTAAACCAGCTTCTATAAAAAGTTACATTCAAAAAAGTTACAGAAATGAAAATGCCTGTCATGGGGGCACTAAGTCTTCTCTCCCATTATCATTAACAACAAACAAACAAACAAAATACAATAAAAATTGTTTTCATTCAAATCAAAGAATCTACTCTTATGTCCTCAGAGAAAGAAAGCAGAGCTATGTACAGAAAAGCAGACAAGGAGAACCTCCATCTTCTTCATAAGTCCTTCCTTCCAAATTCCCATCAGGATGGGACTTGGAAAGATGGGAAGCCAACAAGCAAAAGAACCGCCACTGCTTTAGCTGTGAGCCTTTTTCACATATGCAAGTCATGTTTTTTTCCAAGTGAGACTAAAATTGCAGGCATTCCTCCCTTCCTAGTGACCCATGCTGAAGAGCCACAGTGGAGATTTCCAGGGCAGAAGAGAAATGTTCCTCCAGAGAACCATTTCCAAGGGTTGGCTACACAGCATGAATAAGCATGTGGTCACACCTGACTCCTCCTGGAGTGGACTGAGGTGATGATTAAGCAAAGGTTTCTCCAAAGCCAGAATGGAGATGACCAGGGCATGAAGTACATCCAAAGAGTCTGTGCATCCCATGAGTGGATGACAACTACCAAGAGTACTCAGCAGACAGGCAGGCACTGCCAAAAATGTTGTCAAAAGAAACAGACTCTCACTTCCCTCCTAGAAGCATGGCTATAGCTTACTCTATGGTAAGTCACATCGTGGACAAGAATCAGAACCAGAAGCACCAATGATGTAAGGGACAAGTTAACTAGGAAGCCTTTTCCACCGTGCAAACAAAAGCAAGGCTCCTTTCGTCACTTCACAGTTCCCATCCACTGGATGTCAGTTTTGGCACCTCTTCTACATACAGCTAGGTACATAGCAATACATAAGTAAGTGCGCTTACACCAACATATTTCCTCCCAGCAGTCAAACTTCAAGAGGCACCAATGATTGCTATCGTTCCTTTTTTCTTGAGTACATCTCTGACAGAAAAGCAAATCTGAATAGAGAATTGAGAGGGCAAGGGCATAATGTAAGTAGTTTTTCTGAAATACCATTACCAAAAGCACCCGAAGAACATAAAAGCTTAACATAGACCCAAGAAGTTTAAGCGTACCTGTATCTTCTAGTAAAAAGCAGTTTTACAAAAACAATTAAGCTATGTAAATTCATGTTCTTCTAACACTAAAATGAACTTATGTGAGGCAACTTTTAGTTCTGGAAACATACAAAGTTACCTCGAGCTTAGATGTTTAAGTAAGCATACTCACTTCAAAAGGCTTTATCCTGTGGTACGGCCATGAATCTGAAGGCCAGCCTTCCAGAGGAGGACAAGGCAGAGAGAGTTTAATGGAGCACATTTGGGTCAGATCCTCAACTTCTCTCTTAGCTCTTCTAACCCTCTTTAAACCACCCCTCTTTAAACATTCCCTCTTTAAAACTACCAGGATCATCGTGGTAATTTCTATCAATACTTCCCAAAGAAACAATAACAACAACAAAATAAACTATAATAGTTCAAGTGCTGTAAAAAAGTGTTTTGGTTTTGGTTTGTTTTTTGGAGACAGGGTTTCTCGTAGCTTTGGAATGTGCCCTGGAACTCACTCTGTTGACCAGGATTGCCTCAAACTCACAAAAATCGGCCTGCCTCTGCCTTAGGAGTGCTAGGATTAAAGGTATGCGCCACCACCCAGCTGGGTTTTGTTTTTTAAATACAGGGTCTCACTATGGAGCCCTAGGTGGCCAAGATCTTGCTGTGTAAATCAATTACATCTTGAACTCTCAGAGATCAACCCACCTCTGCCCCCCAAATGCCTGGCTGTAAGTTTAGAGAACACATTGGAAACTGATGTTCCATTTGTATTTTTGAAAAAACCATGCACATCAGTTTAGGCTTGTTATCTTAGCACTCAGGAAGCTGAGGCAGAAAGACTGCTAAGCACCGAAGGTCAGCCTAAGGCTACTTAGTAAATTCCAGGCCAACCTGGGCTACCTAACAGATCTTGTCTTTTAAAAAAAGGGGTGGGGAGAAAAGGGCAAACTTGGTCAGAAATGATTGCAAGAGCCAATTGCTTGCACAGTTAATAGAATCCATGTTGAAATACAAATAAACAAAAGCAGACCAGGAAATACAGGCACGTGAAGAACCAAAATGGGACTTTAAAAAAATTACTTCTTTAAGAGGCCTCAGAAAAGCAGTCACAGTCCCAACACAAGGACAGCACCGAGGGCTGCCTCCTGATAGGTCGCCGTTGATTTCATCAAGTGGAGATCCTTTCTGTGACACCAAGTCTACTTCGGTTGAAACTCTGAGGGTGGCATTTTTGTGTTCTTCATACTTTCAAGCCAGGAACTCTTTGGTGGCGGACAATGAGCCAAACCCAGTCTCTGCCATCACTACCCGTACTTTTTAAATTTCTCATCAACAACCTCCCTGGCCCATAAATTTCAAAAGCCAGTTCCTTTGTTACATTTCCACCACTTGAGGTGTGAAAAGAGAGCAAGTACTTTCTCTGCCTAGTCTTGAGCTATTGTGCGTAATTTAAAATGGCCATCCATGGAAAGCCGTCAGGGACCCTTTGGGAATCTATTTCTCTTGCCCAGAGAAAGGACAATCGCTGCCCCTTGTCCTGGTGTAAAGAGAAAAGTAACAGACTCGAAGAAGTAGAAGAGGACACGTGCCCCTGCAAGTGCCACCCGCCAAAGGATAGGGTCCCTACCTTTTCCGCGCGGCCCGGAACCGCTGGCACCACCACTACCCACAGCGCAGGGCGCGTCCTTCCTGGGCCTCTTGCTCTGTGGTCGCACGCTGGACCTGAGGAAGTGGTGCTGGTCTTGGGGACTACCCTGCGGTGGGGACGGCGCTGGTAACCCTCTGGGTGGTGCTGGGGCTCCGGCGGCCCGAGGGGTCTGCCCGTCCCTCTTTGTGCTGCTGCTGTCCTCCGCCGCGTCCGCGCCGCCGGGCCCCTCTCCGTCCAGAGACTCCTCATCGGCCGTCCGCTTGCCCAGCTTCTTGAGCCCTTCCTCCCCGCTGCCGGCGTCGCCCAACTTCACTGTCATCCTGCGGCGGGAGAGGCGAGGAGCGGTGAGGAGGGCGACGGGCAGAAGTTTACCGCCGGCCTCCCAACATGGCGGCCGTTGTTTGTTCCAGCGCCGCCCGCCGCCCGCCCGAGGGCCCGCACAGTGCTGAGTCCGACCGGACCGGGACCCCGCCCCGCCCTTGGATGCCCCCAACCCAGGCTGGCCGACACCGCCCAGAGTCGTGGAAGGCACGGCGGCAAGGCCTAGACTCAGCGCTGTAGGAGCCGCTGTCCCGCCACCTACCCCTCGGCGCCGCAGCTCATGGCCCAACCTGGGCCCGCCTCGCTCCCCGCACCGCCCGTGGCCCCTGGCCTCCCCTCTGCTCGCTGGAGACGCGCGCGATCGTGCCGCGCACCTGCCTAGTGCAACGGCCCGCGCTGCCCTCGGAGCCCCCAGAGCTCCATGGGCCAAAGCTGCCGCTCCCTCCGAAGCTGGCATGCAAAGAGAGAGGCTCTGCACTCCGGGAACCTTCCCAGGCGGGAGACGGGAGATGAACCGACTACAACGCTCGTGCAACAAAGCCTGTTGCACGGAACAGGTTAGGGAACACAGGAAAAGTGACAGCATACACTATTATGTTCCAGTCGGATTTCAAGAATCAGAACTAAACTATGTAAACAATGCTGGAAACAACAAAATTCTTGTGATAACTTCTGCCACTGTCATAAAAATATCGGTAAACAAAATAACAATTATATGCAGCCTAGAGAAGTTACACTCAGAATAAACTAAGGATCAGGTACATTCCAACATCTTAGGCATAGGCTGTGTACGTGATAAAGCAGGAGAGACATTGCGTTCTTCAGCAGACGCGACACTAGGCTCAACGCAACTTCTGAGAACATTCCCATTTAATATGAAAACTAAACAGAGCAAGGCACCAACGCTAAGAAGGAAACAGATTGAAAGTAGAGACCGGGACGTAAAACTCCAAGTAACACCACAAAATGGTGCTGCAACAAACGGTGTGCATTTTCCTATTTGGGTCTGATCTAATACTGGCTTAAGAAAACTGGCACAGAACCACATACCCACGCTAAGGGATTTCACTCACAGGACTTCTCTTTGAACATATTCACTTTTAAGCACCTCACCCAGGTGCCCAGAACCCTGTCATTGCGCTACGGAGTGAAACCCATTCCCAGAACCAGCCGTTCCAATGCCACCGAGCAAAACCGCGTCAGTCCAACAGGACCCACTCGCCTGCGCGCCAGGCCGCGGTCCCCAGGCGCATTCCGGTCGTTCCCCAGTAGCGGTGAACTCCATAGGAGTCCGTCCACTAAACCCGTCACTTCCTGACCGTGGGAGGCACGGGCACTGCGGGCCTCAACCAGGCTCCACACCCTTTGTCCCATTCCGGGTGGGAAAAGCTCACACCGTCCCGGGGAGTTGACCGCTGGCTGCACGCAGCACAGCCCGCCAATACCGCAGCCCCTCCGCGGATCCAGTAGGCAACCGAGTGCAGCCTGCGGTCACCTTTTTCATCCAAGCCTCCCGGCAGCCTGGATCCCGGATCCCGGGCCTCCGCGGGCGCCCGCAGAACCAACCGGGCCGGGCAGCTCCGGCTGCGGCGAGGCCGCGACGCCGGGCTGGTGGTCGTGTGTTGGATGCAGTCGCCGAGCACCGTTCCCTTCGCACGTTCTTTCCGTGGACCGGAGTGCGGCTGACAGGGCTGAGGGCGCCGGTGCTGCCGCCGCTCGCCCTCCCACACCCGGGCCGCCGCGCTCTAAACAGTTCCGGCTACGGCGGCCGCCGGGGACCTGAAGTCAGCGCCGGAGCGGGGCGGGGCGGACGTCTTGCAAGAAGACGAGCACGTCCAGCTTTTCTGCGGGCGCGCCCAACCAGCTGTGTTACCATTGGTCTGCAGGGGCTGCGTGCGCGCGCGCGCAGGGTCTACCGGGGCGGGCCCGCAACGTGGGGCGTGTTGTGACGGCAACCTCGCGCACTTACGGACCGTGCGTCTCTTCGGGTTGGCGAACCGACAGCCAATAGGCTCAGCGTCCGGGCTGTGATTGGCTGTGGCTGTGTTGACGGATGCGTGAGAAGAAATCACCGCCTCGGCGGGGCGTCTCGAAACGCGCGCGAACTCGGGTGGGGATAAGGCACTAGGAAAACAGGTTCAGGGCCATAAACATATCATAGCATACCCCACTGACACTTGTCCCTTTTGAAGAGATAAGGAAATGTTATTAAAAATTCTATTGCTTACGCAAGTGGCGTTTGAAAATGAGTATCCCAGTTCAGGGAAGGTCCCCGCCTCTGGTTATCCCCTTCGCTCATTTGCGTGGACCGTGCTACTGCGCCTGCTCTCCGGCGACACCCGCCGTTGGCTAACACTGGCTGAAGTGCGCACGGTCGCCCAGGGAACCCCTTTCCCAGTCTCGAGGTTCTGCCGAGTACCGGCTTGCAGCTGTCTCCCGAGACGTGAACGCGCCACACTTGGGGGCGGCGTCCAGTACTCAGAACGTCCGAGAAGCTCTCGAGCTGCGTCCTCCCATCCTAGTAGATGCAGCAAAGCTCCGCGAGGTGCCGGCTAATGGCCTCCGTAGTGGGGTGGAAAGGATGAATCCAAGGAGAAAAGAACAGGAAACTTGGCGCAGCTTGCCCTGAGTAGCAAATCGTTCTGGTCCATGCATTAGCAGGCAGCCCAAACTGTGACCCTGAGGCGGGCCCAAGATTCGGAGCTGCCCCGGGTGGTACCGACTGTCTTCGGCTCTTTCCTCGGCCAGCCGCCAGTCGTTTCTGGAAGCATCGGAGGTGCGGCGCTCTCCCTCAACTGCTTCTGCTTTCTTCGAGCGGTGTTGTCCTGGCAACACGGAGGTATAGGGAGTCTGACGAAGTTAGATTCCTATTGCTGAGATGCAGAGGGGTCTGGGGTTGGAGTAGGGAGCCCAGCCAGGCTTAAGGTGGGGAGGGCCCATTAGGATCGGGCTGGGGCCCCAAGTGGCTTGCCAGGACCCTCTTGATTTCTCTATCTATGCTGGCTTCATGAGGGTTATCCCTCCCTGCACAATGCTAGGACCTCCTGCTGATTTTTCGATTTGCCACGTGGATTCCTCTAGATGCATTTAGTGCAAAGTGGGGGGAAGATAAGAAAGTCAAAATCCTGAGCTTGGTCAACCTTCGGATGGCTTTACAAAGATCACATGACCGCTTTGAACTACAGTAATGTTACAGCCTTTTCAGTAATGTTTACCTGAGGCAGCCAGTGACCTTATTCTAGCCTAGAGGGTGGCGACTGGTCAATTCCCCTGGAAGTCTATTTTAGAACCCATTCTTGTGTTCCTGAAAGTGTCTCAGAGGAGTAACTTTTCTTTAAGTTTTGTTGGTATGACTCCTCGGCATAATGGGCCTAACAGATTGTTTCCGAAAAGGTGTTTGTTTGGTGGAGGCAATTATCCCTGAAAACAATTGATGAGTATAAAAAAGAGGATCAGTTGACTGGAGAAAGTGAGATTTTCTTTTTCTTGTTTTATGTCCTAGACTCTTGAAGCTTGTTTTATAGAAGAAAGGGTAAGTACTTGTTCCTGGACTAAAGCCATTAATGAATTCTCATTAAGTATTTTATTGTGAACATCTTTCTCCTAAGGTTTACTTTAATAACTTTTTAGTTATGTGACTGATAATCACTTAAACACTAGAGTGCTAGTGAAAGAGAGAATGAACTATTAAAACGTTGTATAAAAATGGAGTTATTGAAGCTGGCATCTAGCCCCCTTTTTAAAAATAGAATTTTCGCCGGGTTGTGGTGGCTCACACCTTTAATCCCAGCACTCGGGAGGCAGAGTCAGGCAGATCTCTGTGAGTTCGAGGCCAGCCTGGTCTACAAGAGCTAGTTCCAAGATAGGCTCCAAAGCTACAGAGAAACCCTGTCTCGAAACACCAAAAAAAAAAAAAAAAAGAAAGAAAAAAAAGAAAATCTTCTTTCTTTTTTTGAGGCAAGGTCTCACTATGTAGACAATACTGATTCAAACACATAGGGATCCTCCTGCCCCTTCTTCTTGAGTGCTGGGATTAAAAGCTTGTGCCATGATATTTGGCTTTTTTTATTTTTAATGTGTGTATGTGTACGCATGTGCGCCAGCAAAGGCATCAGATCCCGGAGGAACTGGAGTTACAGGCAGTTGTGAGCTGCCTGATGTGAGTGCTGGGACGTGAAGTAACGTTGTCTGGAAGAGCACTGTGCTCTCTTGACCACAGAGCCATTGTTCAAGCCCATGTCACAGTCCAGATTCAGCTTCTCCAGGGTCACTGTAGCCTTGTGATCCTGACTGTCTAAAAGAGACATCTGCCCGCTACCATCTGGATGTCATAGCTAGACAACATTCATGAGTTTTATGGTTTTACTAAAATTGAACACTGTTTTTCTCCTGTTCCCCCTGTACAGGTGTTCTCTTATGGGCAATTTGCTTTTATTTTGTTTTAAAGTTTTCTTTGAAAATATCTGTAGAAATTAAAATCATGCTTATTGTCTATACAATGAGAATTTCCAAGAATTATTTAAAGTCCTGGTTTCAGTGCTCACTTTTATTATCTTTCTAGTTACTTCTCTGATGACAATGAAGTGTACTTCCTTCCCAGCACACTGTGGGTCACTGTTTGCATCTGATTTTCTGTTTCTCCCTAATAGAGATCTCTAGCAAATGAACTTACCCACATTAGTATAAAGAATATTTTTCGGGTGCTAGGTGTCTTTGTAGGTTTGCTTCCCTTTTGTAACCTTATATGTAGTGGCTCATGGTGTTTTTTTCCCGTCTGCAGGTTTCCTCCCTGACCAGATCTGTACCTCATCATGGCACTGTATTTTGACCACCGAATCAAAGCCCCGGATTCATCCGGATCTCCCTCTCACATTAGCTGGCACCCCACCCACCCATTCCTGGCAGTAGCATCTGAAAGCCCAGCTGCTGGAGGCAATGTAGACATCTACCTTGAACAAGTGAGTCATCGGAGCTACTTAGACTTCAGCAGCTTCTACCTCTTCTGCTCTTTTCTTTCCTTGAGGACAGAGGCCGGGAGTCAGGGTAGCACCACTCTAGATTTCGCCTCATCACTTCTTCCTCAAGGCCAAATTATTCCCACCAACCGAGTGCTCATGTGTGGCAGTTATTTTTTTCCCTGCCATGTAGATTCCTGAGCATGCTTAAACCTGATCCCCTGTGCCACGCATGCCTTCTTCAACTCTTCGTGTTGGCCCTTTGGATTTCTTTAGATTTATTTACTGTATGTGTATGATGGCTTTGCCTATTTGTATGTACATGTGCCAGTGCGTGTCTTCAGGGTCAGAAGACGGCACTGGATCCACTGGAATTGGAGTTATAGATGGTCATGAACCATCATGTTCTTGCTGGGAACCAAACCCAGGTATTTAGCGAGGTCAGTAAGTGCCCTGCACCACTGAATCATCTTTCCAGCCCCATGTTGACCCTTTCAAGCTGTACTAGTTTCCTGTGGCTGCTATAACAAATTACCACAATCTGGGTGTCTCCAAAGAAGAGAAACTGCTTTCCTCACAGCTATAGAGGCCAGAATATAGAAGATCTGGATCTTGCTGACCAGCCAGCCTAGCTGAAGCAGTTAGCTCCAGGTTCACATGAGAGACTCTATCTCCAAATTAGGAGAGCTGACGAGATGACTCAGTGAGTAAAGGTGCTTACAAGCCCGATCACCTGAGGTCAGTCTACAGGACCCACAAGATAGAAGTAAAGAACTGCTCCCTGTCCTTTTACCTCAACACACATCATGACACACACATGTGTATACACAGATACATACAAAATAAGTCATTTTTTTTGTTCTCATTTTTGAGACAAGGTTTCTCTGTGTATCCCTGGCTATTTTGGAACTCTCCCTGTAGACCAGGCTGGCCTTGAACTCATACACCAACCTGCCTCTGCCTCCTGAGTGCTGGGATTGAAGACATGTGCTACCACTACTCGGCTTATAAGTGACTGTTTAAAAAGATTTTGTGAGCGCACATGTGTGTCAGTGCCCTTGGATGCTAGAAGACATCAGATTACTGGAACTGGAGTTAGAGGTGATTGGGAGCTGATCAGGTCCTCTGGAAGAGCAGCACGGACGCTTACCTGCTGATCCATCTCTTCAGTCCCCATGTTATGCTTGTGTACGTGCACATGTGCACCCAAGCACACATGGAAGAGACCATCTGTTGTATCTCCTTATTAAATAGCTCTTCGGATCTTAAAGGAGCGGATGTGAACTGTGTGGATTAGGCAGTTCCTGATATCCCTGCCACTATCTACAATGTGAAATTTTACTTCTTGTTTCACATAGGGCGAGCCTGTGCCCGATACCCACATTGAGAAGTCCTTCCGGGTCACTTCACTGTGCTGGCACCCAACAAGGCTTATCCTGGCTATTGGCTGGGAGACTGGAGAAGTGATAATGTTTAATAAGCAAGACAAGGAGCAGCACACAGTGCCCCTGCCGCATACTACTGACATTGCCATCCTCAGTTGGAGTACCAGCGGGAGCTGCCTGGTATCTGGAGATAAGGTGAGAAGTGCACAGTCTCCGTCCCCACCATGCATATGGGGGTGCACCCAAAAGATACTAAAGACCAAATTATTTAAATGTTTGGTTTCTAGAGTCAAATGATCTCTTCAGGCATGATTGCATGATTTTTTTTCTTCTCATTTTTTACTGGTTGAGAATGTTAGCCAGGGGGCTGGAGAGATGGCTCAGTGATTAAGAGCATTGCCTGCTCTTCCA